TGTAAGACAGGCAAAGGAAAAATCTAAAGGTGTTCCAATAAAATATATGTAAGACAGGCAAAGGAAAAAAAATCTAAAGGTGTTCCAATAAAATATATGTAAGACAGGCAAATGAAAAATCTAAAGGTGTTCCAATAAAATATATGTAAGACAGGCAAAGGAAAAATCTAAAGGTGTTCCAAAATAAAGATTGTTACAATAAAATATATGTAAGACAGGCAAAGGAAAAATCTAAAGGTGTTCCAATAAAATATATGTAAGACAGGCAAAGGAAAAATCTAAAGGTGTTCCAATAAAATATATGTAAGACAGGCAAAGGAAAAATCTAAAGGTGTTCCAATAAAATATATGTAAGACAGGCAAAGGAAAAATCTAAAGGTGTTCCAAAATAAAGATTGTTACAATAGAATATATGTAAGACAGGCAAAGGAAAAATCTGAAGGTGTTCCAATAAAATATATGTAAGACAGGCAAAGGAAAAATCTAAAGGTGTTCCAATAAAATATATGTAAGACAGACAAAGGAAAAGTCTAAAGGTGTTCCAATAAAATATATGTAAGACAGGCAAAGGAAAAATCTAAAGGTGTTCCAATAAAATATATGTAAGACAGGCAAAGGAAAAATCTAAAGGTGTTCCAATAAAAATATATGTAAGACAGGCAAATGAAAAATCTAAAGGTGTTCCAATAAAATATACGTAAGACAGGCAAAGGAAAAATCTAAAGGTGTTCCAAAATAAAGATTGTTACAATAAAATATATGTAAGACAGGCAAAGGAAAAATCTAAAGGTGTTCCAATAAAATATATGTAAGACAGGCAAAGGAAAAAAAATCTAAAGGTGTTCCAATAAAATATATGTAAGACAGGCAAAGGAAAAATCTAAAGGTGTTCCAATAAAATATATGTAAGACAGGCAAAGGAAAAATCTAAAGGTGTGTTCCAATAAAATATATGTAAGACAGGCAAAGGAAAAATCTAAAGGTGTTCCAATAAGACAGGCAAAGGAAAAAAATATATGTAAGACAGGCAAAGGAAAAATCAAAATAAAGATTGTTACAATAGAATATATGTAAGACAAAGGTGTTCCAATAAAATATATGTAAGACAGGCAAAGGAAAAATCTAAAGGTGTTCCAATAAAATATATGTAAGACAGGCAAAAAAAAGGTGTTCCAAAATAAAGATCCAATAAATATATGTAAGACAGGCAAAGGAAAAAAAGGTGTTCCAATAAAAATATATATGTTCCAATACAATAGAATATATGTAAGACAGGCAAAGGAAAAATCTAAAGGTGTTCCAATAAAAATATATGTAAGACAGGCAAAGGAAAAATAAGGTGTTCCAATAAAATATATGTAAGACAGGCAAAGGAAAAATCTAAAGGTGTTCCAATAATAAAGATTGTTCCAATAAAATATATGTAAGACAGGCAAAGGAAAAATCTAAAGGTGTTCCAATAAAATATATGTAAGACAGGCAAAGGAAGGTGTTCCAATAAAATAAAAATCAGGCAAAGGAAAAAAAAGGTGTTCCAATAAAATATATGTAAGACAGGCAAAGGAAAAATCTAAAGGTGTTCCAATAAAATATATGTAAGACAGGCAAAGGAAAAATCTAAAGGTGTTCCAAAATAAAGATTGTTACAATAAAATATATGTAAGACAGGCAAAGGAAAAATCTAAAGGTGTTCCAATAAAATATATGTAAGACAGGCAAAGGAAAAATCTAAAGGTGTTCCAATAAAATATATGTAAGACAGGCAAAGGAAAAATCTAAAGGTGTTCCAATAAAATATATGTAAGACAGGCAAAGGAAAAATCTAAAGGTGTTCCAAAATAAAGATTGTTACAATAGAATATATGTAAGACAGGCAAAGGAAAAATCTAAAGGTGTTCCAATAAAATATATGTAAGACAGGCAAAGGAAAAGTCTAAAGGTGTTCCAATAAAATATATGTAAGACAGGCAAAGGAAAAATCTAAAGGTGTTCCAATAAAATATATGTAAGACAGGCAAAGGAAAAATAGGTGTTCCAAAATAAAGATTGTTACAATAGAATATATGTAAGACAGGCAAAGGAAAAATCTGAAGGTGTTCCAATAAAATATATGTAAGACAGGCAAAGGAAAAATCTAAAGGTGTTCCAATAAAAATATAAGACAGACAAAGGTAAGACAGGCAAAGGAAAAATCTAAAGGTGTTCCAATAAAATATATGTAAGACAGGCAAAGGAAAAATCTAAAGGTGTTCCAATAAAATATATGTAAGACAGGCAAAGGAAAAATCTAAAGGCGTTCCAATAAAATATATGTAAGACAGGCAAAGGAAAAATCTAAAGGTGTTCCAATAAAATACATGTAAGACAGGCAAAGGAAAAATCTAAAGGTGTTCCAAAATAAAGATTGTTACAATAAAATGTATGTAAGACAGGCAAAGGAAAAAAGCTAAAAGTGTCCCAATAAGATACCAATATGTGAAACAAAAAACAAAGAAAAACTCCAATGTGTTCGAGTAAAAGACCAATATCTGTTAGACAAAGGAAAAATCTAAAGGTGTCCCAATAAAATATATGCAAGACGGACAAAGGAAAAATCTAAAGGTGTTCCAATATCTGTTTGACAAAGAGAAAATATTAAGGTGTTCCAATATCTGTTTGACAAAGAGAAAATCTTAAGGTGCTCCAGTAGATACGTAGCTGTAAATGAAAATAGTTTCCGGTAACCACAGCACTGCTTGTACCAATATCATCTGTCTGTTCAATACACCTCAAAGACAATGTAGAGGTCATTTTAACTTGTAGAAATACTTAAATATTGAAACGATGTCACCAACTTCAAATTGTTAGACTTCTGTAGGCCATCGATTTGAGAATTTAGTTCACTCCGGATTTAATGTATTTGTTGCCATGTTTATGTTTAACTGTTAGAAATAAAACACAAATACCTAACGAGGAGCATCTGCATATCAATATCCATTTACCGTAGGGAGAATTTCTGATTTACGGGTTTTAGGCTTTCGTGTGGTAACACGATAAATACAACTTCATTGGTATACATGTATTGTAAGTATGTAGATAAATTCTGTGCGTCTCCGTTCGTACGGAGATGCTGAAAACCAGTGAGCAGACAGGATTAATATGTTACCAACTTTCTCGTACTACCTGTCACTGTGGAGCTGTCGACAAGCGAGTACTTCAAAATACTAGACGTACTGTGTTGTACATCTGTAGAAGTATGGAAGAGAGTTCACTCACAGTAAACGTTCGTACTGTGTTGTACATCTGTAGAACTCTAGAAGTATGGAAGAGAGTTCACTCACAGTAAACGTTCACTCCAATTATAGTAAAAAATGACGATGAAAAATGACGTACATTCTCACAAACATATGACTGTATATTTATCAAAAAGAGTTCATTCACAGCAAGCACTAGCTCCAATTACAGTAAAAAATGACGTGCATCCTCTCATTCACTCACAGTAAACGCCAGCATCGATTGTAGTGAAAAAGTATTTACATTCTCACATAACATTACAGTAAACAGGACGGTATCGTATATTTAAGGAAAATGAAATAAGTAAACATATAAACGGGTCCTTTATTTATTTATTTATTTATTTTAAATTGGGGTGGGTTACGATGTAATATGAAGTAGAGTGACTTTTGATAAATCATCAATGTGCTTTAATTACAGTCAGTATTTATCGTGCTACTGCAAGCTTGTAGAATTTACTGTATACTTGAGTAGTAAGCGTACATCAATGGCAGTACACATTGCACACACGTTTACTGTAGATTCACTATTTCGTAACGAGCGGTAGAAGTATTTGTCTTGAATGTTTAGTAAACCTTTCTGTAGTAAATTTTCGGTGCTCACTCAACAGCAGAATATTTGTGGTAAAAAGTTGCCATTCAACAATAGAACTAATTCATTTGTGTCACAAGTATTCATGGTAAATTTCTGGTTTTAATTTAACAGTACAGCTATTTGTGGTAAATGTTTGGTCATCGCTCAACAGTACAGCTATTTGTGGTAAATGTTTGGTCATCGCTCAACAGTACAGCTATTTGTGGTAAATGTTTGGTCATCGCTCAACAGTACAGCTATTTGTGGTAAATGTTTGGTCATCGCTCAACAGTACAGCTATTTGTGGTAAATGTTTGGTCATCGCTCAACAGTACAGCTATTTGTGGTAAATGTTTGGTCATCGCTCAACAGTATAGCTATTTGTGGTAAATGTTTGGTCATCGCTCAACAGTACAGCTATTTGTGGTAAATGTTTGGTCATCGCTCAACAGTATAGCTATTTGTGGTAAATGTTTGGTCATCGCTCAACAGTACAGCTATTTGTGGTAAATGTTTGGTCATCGCTCAACAGTATAGCTATTTGTGGTAAATGCTTGCTTTTCATTTAACAGCAGAGACATGTCTGATCTATGTTAAATACATATCAAACACTAAAACTAGTTATGGTCGGTGTCAAATTTTCAATCAACAGTAAAACTACTCGTAGTAAATATTGGTTATCGCTCAAAAGTAGAACTACTCGTGGTAAATGTTTGGTTATTGCTCAACATTAGAACTACTCGTGTTGAAGGTTTGGTTTCTCTCAACAGTAGAACTACTCATGGTAAATGTTTAGTTTTCTCTCAACAGTAGAACTGCTCGTGGTAAATGTTTGGTTTCTCTCAACATTAGAACTACTCGTGTTGAAGGTTTGTTTCTCTCATGGTAAATGTTTAGTTTTCTCTCAACAGTAGAACTGCTCGTGGTAAATGTTTGGTTTCTCTCAACAGTAGAGCTACTCGTGGTAAATGTTTGGTTTCTCTCAACAGTAGAACTATTTGCGGTAAATTATTGGTTTCTATTGAAAAGTCGAACTTTTTGTGGTAATGTTCTTCGGTTTTTCATATGAAAGTTATCTTTAGAATACATTGTATTAGCTTTCTAGAACCCCGGTGAACACAACTGTAGCATCTCCAATATATGTATGTACTCACGTGAGGTAAGCGTAAGGTAGAAAACTGCCGGAATACCCATGTCCAGTTACGTCTGTCTTTCCCCATCATCCGGGTCACACACACAGACCTTAGGTAAGTTATAATCCTCCCCACTTAATGAAGTCATCCAGCCTGGGGACACGTATCACACAACACACAGACTACACCATCCCTTTTACACTTTAGTAATCCGTGTTTCACCTCCTCATGACGAGTGCCCGCCCCCTGGTGGCATATCGTTGTGAACACAGCTCTACCCAGTGTCCCTACCGTCGGCAGTAACTAGTCAGCTAGCTCCAAGTTTCGATCAATACTGTTCCAGCATCAGCACCAAAGCAAGTTTCTTTACAGAGTTATCTCCCCTCTAGCCTCGTTTCTTATTCATTTAAATGTATAAGTGTGGTCTCTATGTATGAACGTTTGGTTTGGACGTTGATCTACCAAGGGTCTGACCCGAATTCATCGTTTCAATGATGTACTGACAAGATGCAAGCTGAATATAGTATTGATGAATTGACGAGGGAGTGGATGAACTAGTTACAATAAATATATTTGTTTAATGTAAAAATCAATACGTAAGCAATCGTAAATAGCAGATGAAACATATGTACACTTACACACATTCACTCCTATAAAACATTTAAAAAATCGATCAGTTATATATGTAGAGCAATCCACACAATAACAATAATACTGGGTACATATTCCTTCCATTTGAGCGCACCTGTTGTTGTTTCTACATGAATCATTAATCATGCAGAATCAGTTAGTTGTCTGAGAGGATGTCTGGTGAGCAGGCCAACACACTGTGTGTATACAGATGCTTGTAGATATGCTCAAGCTAATTGTGTAACCCGATTGTTTGCAATAACATCTGTATCGCTTTTTTTTCTTAAATCTCAAACAGATATTGTTGTTTTAAATACATTTGACCATAGAAACAATAATTTTAAAAGGTGATTCAATTTAATGTTCTGTAGTGTAAAATGTTTTACGCCATAACCAAATGATGTCACAGGACTGTCTCGGAAGTAAAAAAAGTTAAATTCGCCTGTCATACGAGAAAAACTAATCAGAGAGCTTCCGTTAACTTTCTCGTGATTATAAACAAATTGATGAAAACAGCGTTACATGTCAAACGTATCTAAAATACTGAGGGATCTAAAAAATATTTTTCATTTCAATGAGAGTTTTAAAACGTTTGTGTTTACTACTGGCCCAATGAACTGTGCATTAAACGTAATTAAACAATCAAGGAAAGGCCGGTACTATTGTGCACTATCTTTAGTGTGTGGTCCCGTTTGTTGTGAGAAGAGAACGTGCTCTCTCAGCGTCCAATCAAAAATCTTCACACAAAAAATATGGATGCCTGGTCGGTATTGAAAAGTGAGATAGGTATCTTAATTAAAATCTAGTGAAGCGATGTGATTGAGGAAACGAATTTCAGAGTAAAAAAATATCTAACTATAATTCAATAGTGTGATACTTATTTATGTCAAACACATGTATATATATATATACCTTCGTAGATTTATTGTATCAATAATATATAATTCTAATGAGCTTTCTTCAGAGTTCAGGAAACAAGTCCTGGAAGTTTTAATTCTTTGTGAGTCTTGGCGGGCAAAAAAATACAAACTTCCAGACGATTTCATTTTTAAGCTACTTTTTATCAAATAATTAGAAAAGGTACATCTTCACAAGTTAAGATACTGTTTACAAATGGACCATGAGTTTAGTTCTGAAATCGAAACAATCAATTTTGATTAATTGATCGATCGATCAATCTATCGATCAGTCAATTAATCAATTTTGATGATTAAATCAATCAATCAACCAACTGATTTTGGTAAACCGATCAATACACCCATGACACTTCTGACACATTATTGTGGCGCATAAATAAAAGTCACGCAACTGTCTCCGTTCTAAAAATGGATATTGACGGAGTAGATTGTCTCACAGAGAAAGTAACTCGGAGGTTTTCACTCACTGTTGTTACGCTGGTGTCCATATCTTGTCTTATTTGTTAGAAATGTTGAATAATTTGATATAACACTAGGGCAAAGGACATGAATATAAGATTTTCTCATTATCACTCAAAATATAAATATTCATATATTGTATATGAGATTATATTTCTAAGTTATTGTTGCTATACCAGACAATAAAGGAAGCACCCGATTTATACATATCACCGCTTTATTACATTTTCCAAAATTATTTGTCACAAGCAATATTGATTGTATTTGTAGACGTTTGTGAACGTGAACGGATCATGTAGGATGAATCTCTGGATATTATAAATCTACGAAGGTATAAATAAACAACAGGTGATATAAGTCTACAAAAAGTGATATAAGTCTACAACAGGTGATATAAGTCTACATCAGGTGATATAAGTCTACAACAGGTGATATAAGTCTACAACAGGTGATATAAGTCTACAACAGGTGATATCAGTCTACAACAGGTGATATAAGTCTACAACAAGTGATATAAGTCTACAACAGGTGATATAAATCTACAACATATGATATAAGTCTACAACAAGTGATATAAGTCTACAACAAGTGATATAAGTCTACAACAAGTGATATAAGTCTACAACAGGTGATATCAGTCTACAACAAGTGATATAAGTCTACAACAGGTGATATCAGTCTACAACAGGTGATATAAATCTACAACAAGTGATATAAGTCTACAACAGGTGATATCAGTCTACAACAGGTGATATAAGTCTACAACAGGTGATATCAGTCTACAACAGGTGATATAAGTCTACAACAGGTGATATCAGTCTACAACAGGTGATATAAGTCTACAACAGGTGATATCAGTCTACAACAAGTGATATAAGTCTACAACAGGTGATATAAATCTACAACAGGTGATATAAGTCTACAACAGGTGATATCAGTCTACAACATATGATATAAGTCTACAACAAGTGATATAAGTCTACAACAAGTGATATAAGTCTACAACAAGTGATATAAATCTACAACAGGTGATATACAACAGGTGATATAAGTCTACAACAGGTGATATAAGTCTACAACAAGTGATATAAGTCTACAACAGGTGATATCAGTCTACAACAAGTGATATAAGTCTACAACAGGTGATATAAGTCTACAACAGGTGATATCAGTCTACAACAGGTGATATAAATCTACAACAAGTGATATAAGTCTACAACAGGTGATATCAGTCTACAACAGGTGATATAAGTCTACAACAGGTGATATCAGTCTACAACAGGTGATATAAGTCTACAACAGGTGATATAAATCTACAACAAGTGATATAAGTCTACAACAGGTGATATCAGTCTACAACAGGTGATATAAGTCTACAACAGGTGATATCAGTCTACAACAAGTGATATAAGTCTACAACAGGTGATATAAATCTTCAACAGGTGATATAAGTCTACAACAGGTGATATCAGTCTACAACATATGATATAAGTCTACAACAAGTGATATAAGTCTACAACAAGTGATATAAGTCTACAACAAGTGATATAAGTCTACAACAGGTGATATCAGTCTACAACAGGTGATATAAGTCTACAACAAGTGATATAAGTCTACAACAGGTGATATAAGTCTACAACAGGTGATATAAGTCTACAACAGGTGATATAAATCTACAACAGGTGATATAAGTCTACAACAGGTGATATCAGTCTACAACATATGATATAAGTCTACAACAAGTGATATAAGTCTACAACAAGTGATATAAGTCTACAACAGGTGATATAAATCTACAACAGGTGATATAAGTCTACAACAAGTGATATAAGTCTACAACAAGTGATATAAGTCTACAACAGGTGATATAAGTCTACAACAGGTGATATAAGTCTACAACAGGTGATATAAATAAACAACAGGTGATATAAGTCTACAACAGGTGATATAAGTCTACAACAGGTGATATAAGTCTACAACAGGTGATATAAATAAACAACAGGTGATATAAGTCTACAACAGGTGATATCAGTCTACAACAGGTGATATCAGTCTACAACAAGTGATATCAGTCTACAACAGGTGATATAAGTCTACAACAAGTGATATAAGTCTACAACAGGTGATATCAGTCTACAACAGGTGATATAAGTCTACAACAAGTGATATAAGTCTACAACAGGTGATATAAGTCTACAACAGGTGATATAAGTCTACAACAAGTGATATAAGTCTACAACAGGTGATATAAGTCTACAACAGGTGATATAAGTCTACAACAGGTGATATAAGTCTACAACAGGTGATATAAGTCTACAACAAGTGATATAAGTCTACAACAGATGATATCAGTCTACAACAGGTGATATCAGTCTACAACAAGTGATATAAGTCTACAACAGGTGATATAAATCTACAACAAGTGATATAAGTCTACAACAGGTGATATCAGTCTACAACAGGTGATATAAGTCTACAACAGGTGATATCAGTCTACAACAAGTGATATAAGTCTACAACAGGTGATATAAATCTACAACAGGTGATATAAGTCTACAACAGGTGATATCAGTCTACAACATATGATATAAGTCTACAACAAGTGATATAAGTCTACAACAAGTGATATAAGTCTACAACAGGTGATATCAGTCTACAACAGGTGATATCAGTCTACAACAGGTGATATAAGTCTACAACAAGTGATATAAGTCTACAACAGGTGATATAAGTCTACAACAGGTGATATAAGTCTACAACAGGTGATATAAATAAACAACAGGTGATATAAGTCTACAACATATGATATAAGTCTACAACAGGTGATATAAGTCTACAACAGGTGATATAAATAAACAACAGGTGATATAAGTCTACAACAGGTGATATAAGTCTACAACAGGTGATATAAGTCTACAACAGGTGATATCAGTCTACAACAGGTGATATCAGTCTACAACATATGATATAAGTCTACAACAAGTGATATAAGTCTACAACAAGTGATATAAGTCTACAACAGGTGATATCAGTCTACAACAGGTGATATAAGTCTACAACAAGTGATATAAGTCTACAACAGGTGATATAAGTCTACAACAGGTGATATAAGTCTACAACAGGTGATATAAATCTACAACAGGTGATATAAGTCTACAACAGGTGATATCAGTCTACAACATATGATATAAGTCTACAACAAGTGATATAAGTCTACAACAAGTGATATAAGTCTACAACAGGTGATATCAGTCTACAACAGGTGATATAAGTCTACAACAAGTGATATAAGTCTACAACAGGTGATATAAGT